CTTAATTCTACTCCCATGCAAGCGGCGTTTCGCTTGTATCGCCTCTGTTTGTTTATTCATCGGCAGCAACTCCCTCGAATGACGTTCAATCAAACCTCGTATCTCGTACTGGCCAATTGCATAGGAAGGTCCCCCAGGCACTCTCCAACCGTCCAGATTTGTGACTCACGCCTGCGTATCTGCTCCTTTTTCTCGGTCGCCTCCGTTCTCTCATCGATAACCATGGTTGTCTGCTGCGACTCCACAGTCGGTAAATTTGCCACCACAATGTTGTCGTCCCCGTCTTCCAAACTATCTATCACAATTTCCTTTTTGGCTCTTTTTGGAGCCACCATCTTCAGGGACGGAGCCCTCGACAATTCCACAGAAAACTCTAACGCAACCTTGAGTGGTTTCGGGTTTTGAAATTGAGTAACATAGATTGTATGTTATACTCCCTTCCCTGAACAGACTAGCCTGTATATAACGAAGGCGAGCTTCCTCGACGATTCTAAGACGCTTTTCCAAATCGGCATCATGGCAATTTATCAGTTTGAGCAAACGCTCCTTGCAAGAGTACCCAGCATCCAGTAATGCCTTGCGATCATAGAACTCTATCGTATTAAATTCGAGTATTATATGTTTCCTTTACATAACAGCAAGTTCTTCAGCCATTATTCTGAAATGAGATCCCATTGCATCATGTGTTTACCATGATAAGCCATATGCGCAAAATCTCACAGCAATACGGTTCTATCATAAATACTGCATTATCTGAGAGAAAAGATTGATGTCAAATCCACAAAATTACAACATCCAGGAATTTTGCAAAAGATCCCAAGAAAATTCCGAGTCGCGCTGCCCGCCCAACCAACCTTCAGTTTAGGCTCCTTTGCGATGTTTGACTTTAACAATGATTATAACAATTGACAACAATGTCTTATCTGTACTTATCTAACACTTTCAGTATCGTGGTTTTTCAATACTCTGGATAACGCTAGCTGCCAACAAGAAAGAAACAGGTATTACCAAATCTCAGAATGTTAGAAATAGCATTTAGAGTCGTTCCACTGATGTCATTTATAGTGATGAAGTCTTACTGACTAGAGATTGCGCGC